TTTTCTTCCTTCTGTCGCGAAAAAGTTAAGACTCTATTTGATGCAAATGTTCTTCAAACATTTTAGAACGTAAATATAAGTAAATATATCTAAAAATATTTTTAAATTTGTTTATTTTGGATGTTCTACTTTAACTAATTACATCGATGTAATCTTTTGGACATCCTCATTAGGATTGCGATCAATAAATGTCTTTGGGCAGACATTATGGCTGTACTTTATTTGTTGTAAATGAGAAAAAATGTTTGCGTTTGCGTTATTCTTTCTTCACACGCACGAACGCATCGTCGGGAGTCGGTGCCGATAAATTAACGGGATTAATTATCCGACTATCGGATTACTCGCAGCGGAGAATACGGCCTACCCCTTGGTGATTTTCCTTCTACGGCTCATTACTTTCAATCGTTGGTCTTCAGCCGGTCGTTCTCTTCTTCGCTACTCGTAATTTTTAGTATAGCCGCACGAGTGTAGGGAGGGGTAGGATTAAAGAATAAGAAGGGGAAAGCAGAGTTCGTTTATGTGACCTCATCAGCTACCCTCGACGAAAAGAGAAAGAAAACTGAGAAAGAGGGAGAAATGAGAGCAAGACAAGAAGATGGAAGCCGCGTCGCCGACCGTAGCATCCCTCAAGGATTATGAGGCCAATCCTGCGGCTAATTTGCGAGCTCTCGAATTCTCAAACCCCTCTACCATCTCTTGACTTCATCCAAACCGCTCTTTGGTCTCCCTTCTAACTATTTTATCGTTGTTTCTTTCGCCTAACTCGGAAAGGAAATCTCTTCTCTTGTCATATATTAATGTCATTTCATTTCTTAATAAACACAGAATTTGTTCAGGAGATTCTAGTTGTTTGTAATCTTAACATCTCAAAAGATTTTTGAATAATTTTATAGCTATATCTCTATATAAATTTGATTCATATATCATTAATTTGTATTTGTAATCTATTAATGTAACAAGTTTATGTATTTTTATCCTGTAGTAATCCATTCACAAACGCAAATTATGTATATCTATTCGAGGAATGTATAAGCAATGAGTTACCGCATACCTCACTGACATTTATGACATATGTTTTAGCAACTACGTATTTTTGTAGGAAAAGTTACGCTTACGAGATACCACTTACATCCGCAGCTGTGAATGAATAATTAATAGGAACGACGCGGTGACGTTCTTATACAACCGGCACGCTCTACGCGCGTTTGTTACAATCCGATTCAGCGGCGGAGGGCATTTTTGGTTCTTATCAATCGCATCCAACAATCTAACCATCCTGGCCAACATTATCTACGGCGAAACGTCCGGCAGCCGTATGGAAATAGAATAGTTAGGCATATCCTAGCTACGGCTGATAGCAGAACCGCGCGGCTCTCCCTCTCACTGTCTCTCTCCCTGTTTCTATCTTTCCCCTTTTCCTCCTTCCTCTCTCTCTCTTTCTCTTTCTACCTATAACTTCCTCTCTCTCTTTCTCTTTCTCTTCCACAAGCTCTCCGTTATTATTCAGGAACTTTGCTGACAGCTCTCCGGATAGGCAGATAAGAACGTCCTCTGAATGCCAAAGCATACACAATGCTCCTTTGGAGCGACATGTACCCACATCTCGTGGATACTTTTCGTGTACACGATCGTGTGGGAATGCAAAGGGCAATGTTTAGCTCGAGTTATATCGCGTCACATTCGCGATGGTCATAAACGATTCTAAATTTCCTTCGATCGTTCGCAATTTGTCGACTGTCACCCATCCGCAGCTCGTTTGCTACCACATAACTCGCGTCAGGATTTATTCCCTCTTATCGCTTATTAAATTATAATAATAATAACTCATTGAGAGTAACTCATTGCATGCATATTTTTGTATTACATTGTATTTCTCAAAAATACGACGAAAAATATTTTCGCGCAATTTTAAAATATTCTTTTATAATTTCAATTATTTTCGCGAAACTAAAGGTTGTGGCACATAGAAAAACTTAAGATGTAAGACTTAAAGTAGTAAGCGAATTGACCAATCATTGTAAAGACCATAAGACCATAACGTAAGTGATAGTGAATCTAACATGTTGATTTCCTTACTACTTAAGTTTTATAGGTCTTAAATTTTTCTATGTGCCATGGGCTTTATGCCTATGGCACATGATGCATGTTTTCTTGATGGATTGCTTTTAGTAAATTACTAGAAATTCTGCGTTCTATGTAGTCCAGTTTTAGCAATTTATTAAAACGCAAGCAATCCAGCAGGAAAAAAGCATAGTGTGTAAGCTTAACTACCCTTTTAACTACACTTCAAATTAATTGCTATGTTGTTCTTATTAACCATAATTGTTGTTTTTCATTTCTCGAAAAAATATTGTTTAGATATACATTAAAATATTTTAAGAAGTTAAAATTAATTTTAATAAAACGACAGCAAATCAATATCATCGGGCATGTTTCATAGCAAAAAATTTAATATATATGTCGATAAAGCTAATTTTAAAACTGGCCATTTTTCATAACGTTTAATACGAATGGTGTGATCTAAATTGCCTGCGCGCGGCCTGACAAATTAAGATCAGATAAAGGGATGATCCTCCGGGCTGCTGACTTTCAGATTTTCATAAGAAGTTACTTCCTCTTCTCTTCTCCGTTGCCATTTCACTGTTCCCTCTTAGTTCTTCATACTCTTCGGCCCAGCAGCAATTTTCTTATCCGATCGACCAATCTGCTCTTTTCTCCCTTTCTTCCGATTGAAGATTTTCGATGTTCATATGAATAAACGAAATTCCAGGAAACTAGTTGTTTTGCACGTTAAATTTGATATTTAATAAAATAAAATATGTATTTGCAAGAGTTTAAAACGATTGAAAAAAATTATTTATAAATAACAGTAAAAAAATAATATTTTACAAAATACAGTATTAAACACATATTAAAAAATAAATGTTTTTAATTTCTAACATAATATACTTATTAAAATTAAAATCTGATTAAATTGAAAAGCCAGTTAACGCGATGACTTTATTAATTTTAAGATATTTTATGCATACTCTACTCTCTAAATTCTTTAAAGTAAAATCTAATTTTAAAGAGTGGAAACTGAACGAATCTTGAGAAAGAATGGCTTAATTTTCAATATTTAAGAGTGACAATTCGCTTTAAAAGAAAGTACCTTATTCTTCACCACTTGTATTTGAATCTATGGTACAGAATATTTTTTTCCTGCTGAATTGCCTGCACACATTTTACTAAATTACTATTATAATTAGAATCGCATCACGCAGAACGCGGAATGTCTAGTAATTTACTAAACGCAAACAATTAAAAAAAAAATCGTATGGTGTATGTAATTGCGTAACGCATCGAAACAAGATAATTTTTTTTTGCGCCCTTTGTGATCTGCAAGTGCTCATCACTTTTAATAGACTTATATTCGACGATATAACGTCAATCCACTCACCTTCGATCGTGAGATACATGAATTGTGTTTTGCCCGATGACGCAGTTGAATCTGCACGACATTCGCGGATACCAATGGCACTCGAAACAAGCTCCATAAATCCTTGTCTGCTCCGGCGTTGCTTCCTGAGTCGCAGCTCGGTTCGGAAGGCGGAGCCCGATAACGATAACGAGAAGGATAACGGTAGGTAGATACCTATATAGCGCGGGGATAAGAAGAGGCTGCTGCGGCAAAGTCTAGATTCGATGTTTTGCGAATGAACGTCGACCCGGATGGATCCTTGTAAGACGTTTTAATTGGACAAATCCGCCTATCCTCATTAAATCCGGGACCCCCCCGGCGGGCCCACCAGGACGACAGGTCCTGTGCGCGTGTCGTAGATGACAACGATATCCCCTTGGCATCATCTTTGCGCATTGCTACGTACTTAAACGCAAAAGTCTTCCATTTTGCTACGCAATCAAAGTGCGTCTCGAAAATCCGCGCTTTACTATAAGAATCCAATCCTGCTCAATAATCCTCAATTTACCCTATACGAGTCTGTTAGCAGAATACTTATAATACAAGTATCCTAATGACGATTATCTGCTCATTAAAACGTGCTATCAATGGAAGTGGAAATTTAATGATACGAAATAAGTTTTCCTTCCGTAACGCAAAAAAGATATATTATACCGTCAATGAAAATACGCGTAACGAAAGAGATTGGCTATCTTTGTATTCAGCGGATATTTTTTTACTACACATCAATTGTGCTTCCGTTTCATCCGGTCTTCTCTTTGTCATTCCCTGCCGTATCCGCAGTCTTACTGTCCCTGAAACTCTCGCGAACGACGCGAAACGCGAGTAGCGCCGTAGACAGATAGTACGCCGCTTTTAGAGAAAGACTCATTGACTATTGTGACGTTTGAGTTAGGGTTGACTCGATGACAGCTCGGCTGTCTTATCTTAGCTGCGAGATTTCGGTCGGGGCGGCTGCTTTGTGCATTCGTATACTTGGAGACAGTATCGTTGTGCGCGCTTCTATTACACACGCGTGTGAACACATCGTCTCGTCCATTTAGACATATATATGTTATTACAAGCTCTATGAAACTCACGAAACACCATTTGGCGATTTATTGTACTCGTCCGAGACGAACGGATGAATCGCTCTTAAAGCTCTTACCTCTCAGTTGATTCTTCTTCTTGTGAAACGACGAGCTGCAAAATTCATAGCAATTCTTTGAAAAAGAAGTTTGTCGTATGTTTCCCTGATGAAAAAATAATAAAAATGAAATATTTCGTTAATTAAAAAAAAAATAAACTCAATAATAAACTTGAAAAAATATTAGAAAAAAATTATAATAAATTAATATAATATTTATAGGTTTGTAGACGATCCATATTTATTTCTATTCTTCCAATATTGCCTTATATTGAAGTCATCAATAATCAAAACATAAATTAATCATAAATATTAATCGTCTGAAAATACTATCATTTTTATATTAATACGTTGAGCCAATTAATTTGTACTTGGCGCAGAGGGCAGATACTTAATAATATTGTTTTATCGTGACGTATACTTTTTATTTGACATCACCTCGTATTTACACTCATGAAAGTCCATAATAATTATATTAATTGTTACGTGATAATTACAATGAATGTGCGGCCGGTAAACGTTTAAAACCGCGTGTCAACGATAGTAAGGAGTAACAAGTCGGTTAACGATTTCCTTTTATTTCCGTGCTGCGAAGGCCAGGCCTCTCTCGCGCTTCTCTAGTCAATGTTATTTAAGGAAATTAACTAGTCGGCGTGATATGGATGCTGTTGCGGCGACTCGCCCTCGAACAGAGCCATCTTCAGCCGCTTATTCTTGGCTCTGCGGTTCTTGAACCAGAATTGCACGTTCTTCGGCTCCAGACGTGGAAACTTCTGGCGATAGGGCATCTTGTTCAGCTCCTCCGTGTACGACAGAATGAGCTATGGACCGATCGTAAAATCGTTTTTTTTTTTTAGCGAATTTCCCGTAAAAAGTGGAAGTTAAAAATTTCCTACAGCAACTTTTAGGCTTCAGCTACTTTGAGGCGCCATATTAATTGTATGACTTTAAAGATGAGAAATAACATGCAATAAATTAATTGCTACGTACAGTTTTACCTTTTTTAGTTTTCTTTTAAAAACATAATAATTTCGTAATTCTGAAATTTGTAAAATATACAAACTGAGATATCTGTTCAACGGCGGTATTTGACAACTGAAAAAGATGTATCAATATTTTTGAAATTCAGGAATTATTTTATATTTCTACGTAACATATCGAATAGATGGTTCAGTTTTTTTGTCGTATATTTTGCAGATTTGACAATTAGGAACTTATTATATTTTTATAAGGGAAAATAAAAAATAAAGCTATACGTAGCAATTAATTTATTGCATTTCTCGCCTTTGACATTACACAAGTGATATTGTCTCGAGACAGATCAAGCTTTTAATGAAATTATTTAAAAAAATTCTAAGCAAGGAAGTTTAAATGTCAACTAATTATACATTCCTTACTAATTCATGAAATTAACATAAAATAGAATGTGCTTCCGTGTATAAATGTTTTGATGTAGGAAATATTTGGAATGAATAAAATTTGATTTATGACTGAAATATTTTGTTCCGAGTGTAAATTATATCTACACATATGCTATTATAATCCATAGAAATTTCTCATAACATGCTAATATCGCCATCGAATGAAGGACAAATTAGTGCGATAACGACATATATGTACGATCGATTTATACATACCGCGTGACTTGGATGAGTGCTCCGCTTAAACCAATACTCTAATCTCGGCACTTCCGTCACGGGATCGATGAACGTCCGGTTCCTCTTCCTTCTCTCGTCGGCTAGCATGCTGGTGGGACAACCGGCAGGTCCGCGCGGCGGCAGATAATGCGACATATACATTATACCGTGACCGAACATGGGGCTGGGTACCAAGGAAAATCCTGGCGGAATGGGGCCCGTATGCCTGGTCTCGTCGTCCTCGGAACCAGAGGAAACCCTCGCGTCCTCTTGCTTTACCGAGGCTGGAGCAGATGTCGGCGGTTGTTGCTGATCCTCGGGTCTTGTAGTCAAGGACAATGGACCGACAGGTGGACTACTCGGTGGACAGGGTGACCCCGATGTCGACTGAAAGCAGCGATTAAGAACCTCATCTCTTTTGGGTTTTAGGATCCATCAAATATCACAAGCATTAAGATCTTATGTAGAAATTTCCGAAAATCGCAATTTTTATTTTTTGCTATTTGCCATTTGATTTCCGTTTCTTTCGAAAAGATATTAGGTGCCTCCTAATATTAATTTAATATTACAATTTTCAATTCTTTCACAAAACGGTATGTACCTGATGCCTAGTGTCCTCCTCTTCGTCCGTGCAGTCCTCGCTAACGATGCTGGCGCCCCTCGGGCTAAGCCCAGGTGGACTGCAGCCATTCATGCTGGCTCTCTTCTGCGCTGCCCTGGCGTTCTTGAACCAGTACACGACATTATTCGCGTCCAGTGGTTTCCTGCCACGGCGCGACTCTAGAGAGTTCAATTCCGCGACATAATGCTGTATTTGTTCGCGCGACGGATGTTGATTCTCAGCAAACCAACGCTGGAGACGCGGCAACTCGAGCTCCGAGTCAAAGCTGGTCCTCATCCTGGTCTTGTGCGAATACTGAAGAAGTGCCGGATGAGCGTGTGATGATGGTGATTGGAAGTTGGTGCTATTGGATTTATACCTAGACCTATCTGTTGTTGCTGCAGCCACGTTTCGAAATTTCTCTTTGTCTCTTCTGACAGGTCGTTGCCACCTCGGCAGAGGGATAGCAGGGTCATCTACAAGAAGAAAACATGATCTTTTTTCAAAGAACCTTACTATTGTAGTAGCTGCTATTAAAAATTTTTTATTAAAAAGACTATTAATCACGTAGTCGTAAGCGCAATGCAATCCTTCGTATCACGTTATATTGTTTTTGAGATAAGTAAGAGATACCGAAATCGAAACCAAATTACCAAGACAAATTTATTACGTGAATTCAAATTCTTTCGACAATCGATTTCTCTTTGGCTGGTTGTTAACGTGGGCAAGCGTTACGAAGTGACGTCATTCAGCATCATCGTCGTCATGGTATTAAGATGACAGATTACGGAAAATTTCGCTCAGGAAATGGTACGCACATCTTATCTGGCCGATGATTTATAAGAACAAATATATCTTCGGGCTGGAAGATCAGGCGCTTGACGCCACTTTAATAACGCGGTAATCCGTCGCGTATCCCTGGCACCTTGGTAGCGTCAGATACTACCAAGACGACAATTATCCGGCCGCCAGCGGCTTCTCGCTAGTCACCTCCTCGAATTCTCATCCGCCTCAGTTTTACGACACCGCACTTAATCACTCCAGGTAGGCAGGTGAGGCGCGAGTCTTGACAGGCGTTCTTAAGATTTCAGAAATCGTTCGGCAAACAGTGGTACACCGTCGAAAGCGGGGCGGCCGGCTTATCTGACAACATTGCACCGCAATTCGAAAGTCTGATTTACACGTATTTATTATTTAGAGTAATTGTGCACAGTAATCGGCTGATCCATAGAACGGTGGTAAATCAATCGCGGTCCTGAGATCCAGAGATCAAACAATCCGCGAGATTGCAGTAAGTTCGCGAAATTCGTGACGCGTATATCAAAAATTATCGCTATGACTTTCGCACATTATCTTTGAAAATATCACAATTATCAACGTTTTGAACGTCCATAATTCTGATGTTATCCTATCTCTCTCAACTATTATATATAAAAATTGTCCGTAACTAATTTTTTTCTATAAAGGTACACTGCTATATTTATCGCCATTCTTATATAACTTTATCACGAATTTTATTTCGTTAAATAAATGTGGACGCTATAATGAACAAATCTTTATCAAAGCCAACGTAATCTTTCTTTTTACATAAATATATATGTGCATGTATTTATAAAAAGGTAAACCAGATTTTGGGATGTACGTAAAAAATTTTGCAAAAATATATAGTAAATAAATCACAAATGCCGCTGCCGCGCTATAAATACAGTTAAGCCCTAATCCTGATATATCAGACCGACGTCTGTTAACATCACTGTTCTACATTTCAAGCTAAATAAGATTCAAAACAGATTTTGTTGCTTTTTATTGTCTGAAATCGCGTTGACACTGATGATTTATATTTGCCGATCCCAATTAATGCGAATTTCACGCCCGAGCCCCTTGAAAAGTATTTATTACCTTTCCGAAACTTTCCATTATCCTGAAAGAAATACGAGCACCAAGTACTTTTCAAAAATCATGCTTTAATGCTCTTCGTTTGTATGACTTTGCATGTTTAAAATTCTAATCACTCTGTAACGAAAGCAATTTTGATATATCCGAATGCCACAAATTGTGCACTTCATCTGAGTCACGGATACCAGAGATAACTGGTACCAATCTCATGATAAATATTGTTGCACCAAGATAAAAGCAAATTAAATTTACGAAACGCAGAAAATAATAATTTTTTTGTCATTTATTATGGCTTTATTAATAAGCATTTAATTTGAACCTTTATCTCTAATTTTACTTCAAATTTAATATTGAAGAGAATTAATAAAAGCGTTTTCCAGATAATATCTCAATTCAATTCTCTCTTTAGAGAAAAAAGAAAGATCCCTTATATTTGCAAAAAAATTCGTAGCTAACGAAAAATCTCTGAACCTTTAAATTTCTTCACAATGATGAAATATAAGAGATAGAATAATTTAGAATCTTCCGAAAAAGATGCCATTGTCGAGGAATATCATACGTAAAGGGAAGCGAGGAAGGGAGATGCTTGGCAGCACGTCTTCGTGCATCATCGTCAGATTAAGCCAAATCTATGCGAGAGACGTCGGTTCTCCATCACAGCGGTTCGCCATTAGCCGTCGGGCTACGAAACTCAAGCAGGAAACGTTTGCCAGGGAAAATTGGTAATCATAGACCACCGTGAGCGGCATTAAAGTTCGGGGATGGGCGGGTAGCGGGATCTTCAAAGAGAGTGCACTTAGATAATGCCGGCTCGGAGGAGGCAGGGTACTTCTCCTCTCTCCCCCGATACCGATATCGAGGGGCTTTTGATGAAGGCTGCGAATTTGGTTGAGTAAAGGGTAATCCTATCACACGCTACGAGATCTTCCGCTGTCGGAAGGGCACGTTGCGCGTGTGGACCAACCCGAAAAATCGCGCGTCTATTTCAATCTTCGGAGAACGAAGTCTTCGAACGAAGGGAGAAAATCGCGCGCGCGACCGGGATAAACTTCTCGAGAAGTCATTGCGGAAAGAAATTTCACCTAGTTAGCTGGAACAGTCGGGATTACTTTAATCAGTTTTGTTGCTGGAGACAAAGATTGAGTGAGAGCCACTAGTTCACGCAACGTTAATACAATTTGTAAAATCATTTATGCAACATTGTTAAATCGTCAGCGAAATATTGACATTGTGATAAAATTCTTAGAAGTTAATTGCTGTTGTCTATTTCATTATTAAGATCTTGATTAAGATGTAGTTTCAGAAAAATCTGTTTTTGCTATTTTAGGAAAGAGATAAATCAATTACAAATTTACATAATTAAAAATTAACTAAAAATTTGCGTGATTAAAATAATGAACATTACAAAGTAAAATATTTCAGAGTAAGATGAATATTCCAGAGTAAGATGATCGGAATTCGAGAAAACTTCATTATTCGAACGTCTCGATTCGCGAGGGAATGAAAGCTACCAAAAGCGCGGTGACTTCTCTCGACTAGTGATTCGAAACCAAGAAAGCATTTATTCAAGGTGAGGATCAGCGAGCCGCGAGCAAGAATTTACCGAAGATTACCACTTGTCGTTCTTACGGGAGGTACAAGAATACCGAGCCGGAGGACTTCTTAATGAGATTAAGTGCCCCGACGACAAACACTCTTTGGCTAGATTTACATTTTATACATTTTTAAGCGGTTGTCTTACTACTATATTCCTTGCTCCGATCTCGTCTTGAATAGTCCTTAAATTTTCTCGGTATACCGCGCCATTATTTAACCTCATTCTTTAAATAAACGCACAATACAGATATATATATTTTTTCTTTTTCTTTGATCTTTTTTTGGTACTTTTATTTTTACTAGCACCGAGATATGGACGAAAATAAAGAAAGCATAATACGCCAGATGCGAAAGATAGGAATTATATTGTTGAAGGATCTAAAATTTTGCTGGATACAGATCTGAAAATAATTTTGTTGGATTATCAAAATAATTATATTTAAAATTAAAACAATTATAAGCAATGGCAAAAATTATGATAGTCTAACAACCAGTTTGAATTTCTAATAAAATTATTTTGATGGTCTAACTAAATTATTTTCAGATCTATATCCAGTAAAATTTTAAACCTTTCAGCAAAATTGTTCTTTCCATTATTCAGAATAAACTTATAGGTTTTGTTAAATATACATAAGTATGTTTCGTCTAATAAGTATACTATATCCATTATAAATGTTTGACACACGCATACACACGCATACACACACACACACACACACACAATATAATAAGAAATATAATTAAATTAAATTAAATATGGTACAACACTGTGTGCATTCCTTTTTCCAAATATTAGTTGAAAAATGTAAATTTCGATACCTAAAAGCTTTCGAGATACTTTACCTCGTCCAAAGGGCACCCGGCGGAGACGAGAAGCGTGTGGCTGTGCAACAAGAGCAACCTCAGCAATTTATTTCTAACTTCAGCTGCCGGACTGGGAGGTGGCGGCCTGGACCTGTACACCTGAATCTTCAGAGTCGCCACCGACGTCAATTCGGCCAAAATATCTCCTACTGTCAATAGTGGTCCATCGGCAACTTTCTCCATCGGCAAAGGCTTCCAGTTACGTATAACGATGCTCCCTCTAGCACTTGGTATCAGATCGCTGGAGTATCCCAGACGAACAAGTGCCTCGCCCACCAAATCCTGTCAGCAAAAAACAAAACTACTATCAAGATATATTTTCATATCCAGATACTTATAATAATTTTAGTCAAAGAAATTCTCTTCTTTCTTAAAACTTTTTTATTTGTATGAAAATAGTGCATCCCGTCCTTAGAGAAGGCTTTAATCTTTTTTCTTTTAAATTTATTTTGACGTTTGTTATTTTATATAAATAGTAAATTGCTCATCGCCACCACGAAAATTTAATTCTTTAACATAGCAAATTATACTTTAAATAAGTTTTTCGATTTTTTAACTGCAATCGTTTATGATATATCAATAGATAGTAAAAATGTATAAAAATATATATAATAAAAGAAAATTATTCTTACCTGAAAGGGCATAGCTACGGGAATAATAACGTAAGAGTCCGTCTCCACTTGGGGACTTCGCCATTTTTCACGGCTGTTGCTCACATGGCTTTCCACAATATTGTGAATCGTCTCCACCACACAATGAACCGGTAGATTTTTCGCTGCGACAGACAAAAGCGTTTGCATGAAGTAACGTACTCGACAATCCGTTCTCATTATGGATAACAATAGAGTAACGAATTTGCTATGGGTAACAAATTAGCTAACAATTGTGTCATTTACGACTTATAATTTAATTATATGTAACGGATAAAAGCTTTCATAAAAATTCGTAACAAATTCCATATTCGTCTTTGAAATTTCAACCAAGTACAAGATATGTAATTTTTCATACAATTACATCGGTTTTTAATTAAGAAAATTTTTAATTTCTACCACGTAATTGCTTTATTTTTTTTTTCAATTTCGATTACAAGTTTTTTTCACGAAAATCCCTACTTTTTTCTGACTGTTTTGTCTTTAAATCATCGCATATAAATTATTTGATGATTTCTCGAAAACTTGTTGTAGTAAATCTGATTAATTTAATTCGAAAGCTAAAGAGGGTGAGAGAGATATTTCCACGAAGGCTTCGTGAGTTCACGAGTGCCTCAAATCATCTCGTAGCTTCAGTTGAAGCATTAGTTTCTGTACATCCGGCTGACAATAGGTATAGTCTTCGGCGTTTCGGCATCCAAATTCGAGGGGTAGGATGATTCGCGGTACGCGCATTGAAGATCGCCGAGAGAAGACTGAGAGAGAAAGAGAGTTACGCGAAGCGCAAAAGGAAGAGAGAGAAGTTTAACTCCGGCGCTAAGCATATGCAGATCCACTCGTCTATCCCGAGACAATGGGACCTGTGCGATGGCACAATAGCTGCGATCCTTGTGTAACCCTGACTTAAGTCCAAGAGTCTATCCCACTCCAGGTCATAATCCCAGACTTCTGCGAAACCGAGGAAATGGAGTGCGAGAAGGAAGGGAGAGGGATGGTAAAAGAAAGACTAGGTAGAGCAGGGAAGGAAGAGGGGAAAGTTCCGCCCGCACAATTCCACTGGTTGTATGGTGCCTGTATTTATCCGTTAAAGGGAATCACCAAATTCTCGATGAGATTATTGAACTTGCTGTTTACTGATATACTCGTATATATCCCGCATTGTTCGGAATGCAGAAGTATATTTTTGTTACGATATCAGTAGACCAATCGACGTCAAGTGCGTCTACATAAAATGTGTTTGTAATAAAGATATTGAAAAAATGCCAACACAATGGCTAAAGAAATACAAATTTAACTATTACAGATACTTTAACAGTGTATATTTTGTAACTTTAACAGAAATTTAGTTTAAAATTAGAAATAAGAAACAATAAACGGCAATGAAAGTCAAGCGCAATAATTGGAGCGCAAATTAAGTATTTATTGTTTTTTTTTAATTCATTCTAGAATCTAAATGTTTCGAGCCATTCATTCTGAGCCATTACCAAGGAGCAAATTTAATTAATTATACATGATCAGTATGATTATTTTCTCAAGCCAAATTAGAATGTAATGGATGTATTTCTCACATTGGTTGTAAGACCAAGTAGGTTTTTGAATCCAAAAGGAGTCAAGATTACAATTAAAAGCCATGAGTAATCACATTAACCAAATAAATAAAAATTGACGTTTAAACATTATTCAATATTTTTGCCGCACGATTATCTGTGACGAGTGCAAAATCAGCTATATAACAAAGTGATGATAATTTAGTTTAACATTTAATTATGATAAAATATTCAAAGTGCTAAAGTTTCAAGTTTTATTGCAGTAAAAAGCAATAATTTCATTTTCGTTTGGAAAAAGTTCAACTTGAAATTCATAGAGACGACTATAATAGTAATATAATAGTAATAATATTTCTATAATAGAATAATAGATTAAATTTTTCCTACAAATTTATTTATAAGAGTAAATTGATATTGAAATTATACTTGTTACGAACATGATAATCAAAGTACAATATGGATTGTATCCGAATTGATAGATAGGTCGAATGTCTCTTGATGCAAGGCGTTAAGTCCCCGTCAAAGATGACCAACAAAGGATTTACTGCCGGCGGCATGATATTAGGTATTAATGGCCGAAACTTCCATCTAATACGCCGGACATCATAGAACCCATTCCCTACGTTGCATAAGACAGGTCGTATCTGGCGGGTCCGAAGGCTGACCAACGTCCACCTTAATCTAGGGACGTATAGTTTTCATTAAGGCGCCCCCCGTCCTTGCGTCGTCTTTGTACCGGGATCAGCTGGTTTAAGGTGGGCTTTTACGCCGCAGGATTTAATCGCAGAGACATCGTATTACTCGCTCTGTTTATTACCGACGCGTTGTCTTGACACAACTCTGTGTCGATACACTCGTTGTTTGATCATAAAAATGTCCGTTTAAGATTTATTATACAATTTAAAATCGTTCTTTCATAAACTGAAGTATGTACTCATTGTGGGGAGAATTAATTGAGCTTCCATTTTTATTTAGAAATAAAATCGAGAGACTGGTTATAAAAATATATAACTTCTATATAATATATTAATGATAATCAAATAAAATTCAAAATGCATTTCTTAAAAAAAAAAAAAAAAAAATTGTTTTATTAATTTTTACACTCACAACAAAACACGTTAAAAATTTATCATAAGGAATGCGAAAAAAGAAATGTAAGAGTAACTACTCATCCGCGAAATCTTTAATCTCTACAACCGCAAAGACATTTCTCATTTCTGGTGCAGAACCTATCGGGCTTCCGGTTATCTTCCCGCACGACGGAAGCGTCATGCCGTTTCGTCTTTGACAGCTCTCGTCGAAAGATAAGATTCATCCGAAGGGCAACCCTTGAAGAAGCGAAACCAGTTTCTCTCGATGGCTCTTTTTCATCACGACGGCTTCGTCTTGCATTTCGCGTTAGCGATTCCTCGTATTGTTAAGTCTTGCCGCAGTAACATCTATTTATCACTAACTTGATATACGCTATTCTCTTTTATGATAGTATGTATTCAAAATTACAAATTATCGACAATATTTGGAAATAGCTAATTATAAAATGATAAATTCCATTAAAGTTAAGCATTCAACAAACTAAAAAAATTAAGTCAGACAGTAAAAGAAATTATAAATAGATGTGTAACAATTATTAAAATTCTCCATCAAAGATATTAAAAAATATATTTAAGAAATATTATACTGAAAACAAAATAGTTTGCAAAATTAAAGAATAAAGCTTCCTATACATTTTGTCTTTTTCTTTCCGCTTTGAAATCCGCTTTTGTGGCCAAACGCATCGGACTCGTAGAGTGATTATGGGAGGCACAACTTTGCAAATTAACAGAACGCTTAGTTCTGCACCGAGGCGGTGGTGCAGATACAAGATAAAAAGTTGGAACATATTTTTCGGCACCCTGCTATCGCACACTCCGCACCGCCGCGATAATGGCCGCGTTCGGCACGGAAAACGCGATTTGAAGGGGGTGCGGCCAAAGAATCATCGCCGAATATTTCTTTCCACGTCTCTTCACGACCCTCGTTTTCTGCGCGCGAGATGATTACCAGTGCGTTCCGAGATTACCGAGGATCTTTCTAAATCACTGACGGGAAAAGTACACGCCATTTAGATTCATCGACAGTGACGTTTCCGTAGCTGTATCGGTGTGCTCGGATACGATTAAGCAGAGCGACGAAGGAGAAGGAGAACAAAATGAATTTAATTTCTTGGAGACTTAAAACGGGGGAGGCGAATTTAAATTTTTTATTTAGATATTTAACACTTAAATTAAATTTAAGTGTTTAAATTAGGAGAAAGAAGAGTCATAATCCGTTCAAATGCTTGACTTTAATACTCTCGTGAGTTGTGAAATGAGTAAATTTAAAAATCTATAAGTAATTTACGTAACGTTATATGTAGTTAAAGATATCACAAAAATTTTTAAGCATTTCCAAGTACAGTCTATATACATACATCAGCTACTTTAATAAACAGAGTTGCACTCGTGCTTATCGAGATAAAAGATATATAAGTTGTTAAAGTATATAAGAAAATTATCGCTTGTCTGACATCTCCATCTGAAATACCACAACTGAATGAGCGCGAACTCAGTGCATCGCAAGGACCGTTAGTCCTAAGGTTTCTTCTGCGTCTTGATGACTCGGTAATCCAAGACGACTCGACTTAATCTCTCGAAATCGAATCAGGTTACGAAGCCACGTTTAAATCGTCCGAATACTATTCTTCTGGGCTGACCTGCGCCTGTTCATTGCGGCTGATCAGTGCCCACGGTCGAAGAATCCAATTTGCAGTTTGCATGTCCAAAGAAATGAATTGTGCCACCGGGATATCTAAGCCCAGCTGTGCGGCATGCGGCGGAATTCGCAATCCCTGGAAGTCGGCTGCTTCCGTCCTCGGAACTTAGCCTAAGCGTGTGCACCAGAAGGAAAGTGTGGGTGGTTTCGGTATCTGGGGCTGATCCGGCGGATGTCGGTCTTTACAGATAAGCGACCGGCTCTTTCGAAGTCTTTATCTGCGACACCCGTTCTCTTTCTCCCCCTTCCCCTCTCTTTCCCTTCTCATACTTCCCCTCCTGCTCTTCCACATCTTTTTATTATTTTCCTCTTACTAACGAGCTGTTCGGTTTATTCCAGTCATCCAAGTTCTCGGATTAATGTTCGCTGAGATTTTACTATCGCGTCTGTCCCATGTAACATTACGTTTAATTGATTAATCTTATCGACTGGTTCTTGTTTGTCATGTATTTATGATTAATCGATCGAAAATACTAGATACTGATAGCCTCCAACTTTTACAAGCGTTGTATGTTTCGCGCATGCAAAGCATGCTATTGTTCGTAAACTCGCGTGCAATTTAAGCTCTTTTGATGTTGCTAAGCTTGTCCGTTGAAAACAACGGATAAGATATAATGAGATAACCTTACAACTAGTGCTTATAAGATCACCGACCACGCGACGAAACCTTCTAAATCTAAATGTTAACTGATTCATAGCGACTAGATCACGCATCGTCGCCAACGAAGTATCTTAATAGCATCCATATCTCACTTCGCATTTGTGTGAACTGACATACCTAGATAGTT